GCGATGTAGAAAGGTTTCGAAGGCCAGGCATGGTGGCTCGCGCCTATAATCCCAGTAGTTCAAGAGACCAAGGCAGGAGGATTGCTTGAGCTCAGGAGTTCACAACCAGCTTGGGCAGCATATCAGGACAGTGTCTGTACAAAAAATATAAGCATTAGCTGGGTGTGGCCACACGTGACTGTGGTCCCAGCTACTCAGAAGGCTGAGGTGAGAGGACTGTTTGAGCCCATAAGGCAGAGGCTGCAGCAGTGAGCTGTGATGGCACCAGTACACTCCAGCCTGGACAGCAGAGCAAGAGAAGGAAGGAAGGAAGGAAGGAAGGAAGGAAGGAAGGAAGGAAGAAAGGAAAAGAAAGAAAGAAAGGGGGAGGCCAAGCGTGGTGGCTCACGCACTTTGGGAGGCTGAGGCAGGCGGATCACGCGATCAGGAGGTCAAGACCATCCTAGCTAACATGGTGAAACCCCATCTCCACTAAAAAAAAAAAAAGAAATAAAGAAAGCAACAAGAAGAAAGAAAGAAAGAGAGAGAGAAAAAGAGAGGGAGGAAGGGAGGGAGGGAGAGAGGAAGAGAAGAAGGAAGGAAAGGTATCCAAATTAAGACCCAAAATTTGAAAGAGTTAGGAATGGAAGAATGTTGGGTAGGAAGTGTTAAGGCCAAGAGAAAAATAATAGCATGGATAAAGACCTTGAGGTCAGAGATAATAAACTCAAGGAATTCAAATAAGTAGAGAAATTTAGAAGCATGAAAAATAGGAGGAGAGTGATAGCAGCCAAGACCCCAAATAGTTTTTGTGGGAGACCTTACTGTTAGTCTATCCAGTTGTTTCATATCCTTTCTTGGTAAAAGAACCCTATTTATGTTGTTTCAGAGAGCTGAAGTGCCAGGCCCTATGGAATAAATAATGAGTTTAAGCCAAACAGAGTGTTCCCATTCTCTTTTGCTAATGACTGATCTAAGGATGGCAATTGTGCCCAATTTTAACCAATGAGATAGGAAGGGAAGTCTGCAGAGGAAGGCCTCTAGGAAGCATTTTTCTCCCATATAAAAGAGGAGAGAGCTACAAGGGAAAATCTTACCCTTTCCTTTTTGTTTTTGGAGATTGTGTATAGAGGCGACTGTTTCAGCCGTAAGGGAGACACGCTGAGGGTGGCAAGGGGCTGAGGCTTTGAGGACATCATTGAGCTGCTGAGCCATCTCTGGAACTGTTTGCCCCTGGACTAATTTACCATATTCAAATAATAAATATCTTTTTTTTTTTTTTTGAGACAGAGTCTTGATCTGTTGACCCAGGCTAGAGTGCAGTGGTGCAATCTTGGCTCACTGCAACCTCCACCTGCCAGGGTCAAGCAATTCTCCTACCTCAGCCTCCTGAGTAGCTGGATTACAAGTGCGTGCCACCACGCCCAACTAATTTTTGTATTTTTAGTAGAGAAGGGGTTTCACCATGTTGGCCAGGCTGGTCTCTAACTCCTGACCTCAAGTGATCCACCCGCCTCGGTCTCCCAAAGTGCTGGGATTACAGGTGTGGGCCACCGAGCCAGGCGGTAATAAATATCCTTATTGAATGAGGCACTTTCAGTTGAATTTCTGTTTCCTACCATCAAAAGTATCTTAACTGATTATAGTTATTTAAGAGTAAGTTCTTGCAGGACTTTTTAGATAATATTAAGGATTTGGAATTTAATCCTAAGGATTAGGAGAGCTATTAAAGGACTGTGTGCATGGGGTAACACAAGATGTTTGCTTTTCAAAAGATCAATTTAGTTGCCATGTGGATAATAAACTGGAGAGTGGCAATGATGGATGCAGGTAGAGCAGTTAGGAACTATTGCCATAAGTCACTCAAGATGATGCAGTGATTTAAAATAAGCAGTGGCTATGGAAATAGAAAAAAATGAGTGCGGTGGCTCATGCCTGTAATCCCAGCATTTTGGGACGCCAAGGTGGGCAGATCACGAGCTGAGGAGTTCAAGACCAACCTGGCCAACATGGTGTAACCCATCTCTACTAAAAATACAAAAAAATTAGCCAGGTGTGGTGGTGCATGCCTGTAATCCCAGGTACTCGGGAGGCTGAGGCAGGAGAATTGTTTGAACCCAGGAGGCAGAAGTTGCAGTGAGCTAAGATGGCAATACTGCACTCCAGCCTGGTCAACAGAGAGAGACTCTTGTCTCAAAAACAAAATAAAAACTACTGAGATTCATATTGGAGGCAGAATTGTGATTGTGATTGATTCGATGTGAATGAGAAAGAAGAAATGAAGGATGACTTCCAGGTGTCTAGACTGAGATATAAAGTGGATCATAGTGCCATTTGCTAACACAACCACTGGAGGAGGAGAGGTGGTGGCTACTGTAATGAGTTCATTATTAGATGCATTGGGCTGAGGGTGTCTACATCAGATGTCAATCATGTAAGCTATTGGGCTGTTGAGCATTCGAATGGCCTGAGGTGGAGATAAAGATGTGAAAGTCTTTGGAATGAAAGTAGTAACAGAACCTATGTGATTTTTGAGAGAGAGAGAGAATGAGAAGGGAAAAGGTCCTAAGACAGAATCCTAGGCTCTCCAGCCCCAAGCCAGTGGAGAAGGGGACTCCAGCAAAGGAGGCAGAGAAACAACAGCCAGAAAGAAAGAAGGGAAGTCAAAGTGTTTCCAGGAGGGAATGGTCAGCACTGACAAACATAGTCGAGGGGTCAAGCAGAAAAGTAGCTGAAAAAAATCTATTGGAATTAGTCACATGAACGTCACCAGTGACACCAATAATAAATCAGTTTTTGGACAGATGGAGGTGGAGATGTTAGTTCAGAACCCAGACAAGACTGAATAAGAAGTGAATAATTAACAAATGATGACACAATGTGCAGAATCAGATCAAGAGATTTGGCCTTGAAGGGGATATGGGGCAGGAGTTGAGGCATAAGTGGGATGAAAAGAGGGTTTTTGTTTCCTTTTGAAAATAGCAATAACTATCATTTCATCTTATCTCCCCCCCCCACCCCCCAGCCCCCACGACCCGATGCTCCAGCCCCACGGATCTTTCTTTCCTTTGGTCCTGCCTCATTCGCTGTTCCCAGTGCTTACCACGCTTTCCCCTAAATCTATGAATGGCTCACTTCTTCTCATTATTCATGGCATTGCTTAAATGTCACTTCATCCAAAACGTTTTCTCTGAGCTTATCCTTCTCCCCATTGTCATTCACTGTTTTATCTTCTTTGTGGTTCTGATTATCTGAAATGATTTTGTTTGTTTATTAATAAATAAATTAATTTATTTATCGATTACTTAAACAGCTTCCTTTTGTTTGTTTTTGGAGTTTTGTTGTTGTTGTCATTTGAGACAGTCTCTGTCACTCACACTGGAGTGCAGTGGCATGATCTCAACGCACTACAGCCTCCACCTCCTGGGTTCAAGCAATTCTCATGCCTCAGCCTACCAAGTAGCTCACGCCCAGCTAACTTTTGTATTTTTAGTAGAGACAGGGTTTTACCATGTTGGTCAGGCTGGTCTTAAACTCTTGACCTCATATGATCTGCCCTCCTCGGCCTCTCAAAGTGCTGGGATTACAGGCGTGAGCAACCACCCCAGCTTAGTTTGTTTTTTGAGACAGGGTCTCACTCTGTTGCACAGGATGGAGTGCAGTAGCATGATATTGGCTCCTGTGATCAAATGATCTCTCACCTCAGCCTCCCAAAGTGCTGAGATTACAGGCATGAGCCACAGTACCTGGCCTATATCTCTTAATCAAAAGTAAAGTGTGAGTGTGGCAATTCCTCAAGGATCTAGAACCAACAATTCCATTACTGGGTATATACCCAAAGGATTATAAATCATTATACTATAATGACATATGCACATGTTTGTTTATTGCAGCACTGTTCACCATAGCAAAGACTTGGAACCAACCCAAATGCCCATCAATGATAGAGTGTATAAAGAAAATGTGGCCCACATACACCATGGAATATTATGCAGCCATAAAAAAGGATGAGTTCATGTCCTTTGCAGGGACTTAGATGAAGCTGGAAACCATCATTCTCGGCAAACTAACACAGGAACAGAAAAGCAAACACTACATGTTCTCACTTATAAGTGGGAGTTGAACAGTGAGAACACATAGACACAGGGAGGGGAACATCACACACCAGGGCCTGTTTGGGGATGAGGGGCTAGGGGAGGGATAGCATTAGAAGAAATACCTAATGTAGATGATGAATTGATGTGTGCAGCAAACCATCATGGCATGTATATGCCTATGTAACAAGCCTACACATTCTGCACATGTATCCCAGAACTTAAAGTATAATAATAACAATAATAATAAAAGTAAAGTCTGGGGTAAACTGGGTCAAATTTATGGGCTGTTAAGTACATACATGTATTGTATGTTATATCCCATGTGTTATGTATTATTATATATGTGTATTATATACTATGTACTATTTTTGCAACTCTATGCGAATCTATAATTATCTCAAAATAAAGTTCTGTTTTTGTTTTTTAAAGTAAATTCTGTGAGAACTGGGATTTTATTTGCTTGTTGACAATTGTGTCTTTATCATCAGAACCAGGTCTGGCGTGCAGTGGGTACTAAATAAGTGGTAAAACGTGTGAATTAATGCCCGGCTACTTTTTATATTATTGGTAGAGACGAAGTTCCACCATGTTGGCCAGGTTGGTGGTCTCGAACTCTGACCACAAGCGATCCAACCGCCTTGGACTTCCAAAGTGCTGGGATTACAGGCCGGCGTCACTGAGCGCGGCTGATCAAGTTTAAAGGGTGGGGTGGGGAGAGTACAAACAACAGAGGAAATCCTGAGCCGCAGAGGAAACTGGAGATGGCAGCGTTTAGCACTAGACTCTACGAGAGGCAGGATTGGAATCCAAATCTCCAGAACTCTTTCCACTACCCGTGCTCTCTCTCTATTGATGGACTACTGACTGGATGACAGAGTATTGATAGCACTGTCTTAGGAGACGCCCAGTCATAGATCATAGGCCATCTTTGCAGCTTATTGTGATTTCAACCGTGGAGGATGGTCCTATGCATCACCTTTCAAGAGGCTGTTCTCTGATCAGCATTAAGCATGGCCACGCCCGCCCTTAACTCCTGACTGTGGGGAAAGAGGCTGTGTGGGTGACAGGTTGGAAGGTTTACTACTGCCTTAATCCTCTTCTCTGCAGTTGAGGTTTCAGGTTTCAACCCTCCCAATACCACAAGACAGTGCAGCGAGCACCGGAGGCCGCCGCCTCCGCCTCCGCGCCTCAAGCCCGGCAGCCTGCAGATTTCAGCGCCGCCGCCTCGCACTCGCCCTGCCCTAGACCAGGGTTGGGCGCAGCGGCGGAGGCTGCTTCTGGGCTGCGGGAGCTGGGCGCGCTGGAGGGCGGCGATCGCAGCTGGGCCGGGACTTCCTTCCTCCAGCGCACGGCAACAAAACAACCCTGCAGCAGGCACTGAGCGCTTGGCAGCTGTCCCGGCGAGCGAGAGGCACAGCGATGGGCTCCGTGCTGAGCAGCGACAGCGGCAAGTCGGCGCCCGCCTCTGCCACCCCGCGGGCCCTGGAACGCAGCGGGGACCCGGAGTTGCCCGTCACGTCCTTCGACTGCTCCGTATGCCTTGAGGTGTTACACCGGCCTGTCCGGACCCGCTGTGGCCACGTGTAAGTGCCAGGGGAGCCGGGTTCGCGCCCATCCCTGCAAAGGTCGATGTGCGGAAGCTGAGGGCTTGGTAGCGGGAAGGAGGGGATCGGAAGATAGCGCCTTAGGAACTGCTGCAGGGAGCAACCTGAACCCGTCGGGTGCGGGGCCACGAGGAAAACGCCAGTCGGTAAGTGACACGGGACTTCGGGAGGAGAAGACAGAAAGGAGCGGGCCCTGTAGCCCCCTTGCGCCGTCTCCTGCCGAAGCCCAGGTGCGGAGCTCCAGGGATCCAGGCGCTGGTCCCGCCCAGCGCCAGGGCTGGCCAACTGGGGAGGGTGCTCCTGGCTGGAGAACCAGCGACCGCCCGGGCACCGAAAGAAAACCAGCGCCCGCTACAAGGCAGGGGCTCCCGCTACGCGCAGTTGTCCGGCTGAACTCGGTGGAACGGGCTGCGCTTCCCTCTGCCCCAGAAACCTGGATCCGTTTTGTTTTGCTGGAGCTGTGCACGTGTTCCCAGAATGCCCACAGAGGCTCGTCTTAAGCAAACAAGGATCTGTGCCAAGTGTCCTTCCACCCCCACCCCTGCTACCCTTTCCCAAAACAGACACCCAGCCTCTCAAAGAGCAAGTCAAACTGGAGCTTCCGAGTGACTTTCCACAGTCGTTAAACAACCTGATAGGGTGGGGCTTGGACGTTAGCCGCAAGCCCCTGAATGCACTCCTTCACCACCCAGCCACAACGTGACAGGAGGTGGCAGACTACCTGCTTTACTCCCCGTCTCTCCAAACCCGCAGAAATTACAGAGTAAAATAACTTTCTCAAAACCGAGTAGTATTTAGCTAAAACTCGCAGTTGGTGCAAAGCCCTGGTCGTTTCTAAGAAGCATTTAAAAACAAAGTCCGGATATAAATTTGGCACATCCTTAATCTGTGTTTGAGTAACTGGTGGAGTTGGATCTGTGAATTTGTGTTCTCTGTTTACTTTTTTTTTTTTTTTTTCTGAGACAGTCTGGCTCTGTTGCCCAGGCTGGAGTGCAGTGGTGCCATCTCGGCTCACTGCAATCTCCGCCTCCCGGGCTCAAGTGATTCTCCTGCCTCAGCCTCCCTAGCAGTTGGTATTACAGGCGTGTGCCACCACAACCAGATAGTTTTTGTGTTTGGAGTAGAGATGTGGTTTCATCATGCTGGCCAGGCTGGTCTCCTGACCTCAATTGATCCACCCGCCTCGGCCTCTCAAAGTGCTGGGATTAAAGGAGTGAGCCACTGCGCCCAGCCTTCTCTGTTTGTTTTGAATTTTGTTCACGGACACATGGGTGTGTGTGTGTGTGTGTGTGTGTGTGCGCGCGCGCGCGCAGGCGAGCGCGTGCAGATCAGGAGCAGAAGCCTACTTAATGTCCTTTGAAGACTGACTATAGTATGATGAAGCCCTGTGCAATACCACATTGGCTTGTACAGCTTTTGGTTTAGCAGGAAGAAAGAAATAGCATATTATGAATGCAAGTGCACAACATGTTTTCGAGGACCACTTTTGAAAGGATTTAGGTAGTCCTTAAAAACATGTTGTGCATTTGCATTCAAAAGTTTTGAGGCCTGTAGTGGTGGCTCACACCTGTAATCCTAGCACTTCGGGAGGCCTAAGCGGATGGATCACCTGAGGTCAGGAATTCGAGACCAGCCTGTCCAAAATGGTGAAACCCCCTCTTTACTAAAAATACAAAAATTAGCCAGGCATGGTAACCCATGCCTATAACCCAGCTATTCAGGAGGCTGAGGCAGGAGAATTGCTTGAACCTGGGAGGAAGAAGTTGCAGTGATCTGAGATGGTACCATTGCACTCCAGCCTGGCGACAGAGTGAGACTTTGCCTCAAAAAACAAACAAAAAAAGTTTTGAAAGTACTTAGGTGGTCCTTATTACTATATCCTTGTATCTGAAAAGCAGTATTCACCACTGCCCATCTGTGAGCCAGGGAAAAAAGTGTGCAGCCTGTGCCATGTATAAAGAGTGCTTTGGGCGTTATTTCGTGGCTGTATTCTCAAGGCCTGTTGTTTCAGCTTTGTTCTTAAAATTCGAGGCTTAAATTTACCCTCCTTTCTGGTTATTGATGTTGTTGCTCAGCTGTCCAGATGTAGTAACACGATATCCACAGACCAATCTGGAAACCAAAATGTGCTATGTAAGTCAAAGTATATTGATTAGTTTAGGGCAGTAACAACCTAAAGATACCTCCATTTAAATTTAATCATTATTAGCATTAAAACTTCAAAGTTGTGCAAAACACAAACAATGGGCATTTTGAAGATTCTTTTTGGAATAGAAGGCTTTGCTATTCAATGATCTGACTGGAGACTGTTTTCCTGGTTTGGACTTTGAACATTATAATTTACCGTTCACAATGTTTTTCCTTCTACTAAAGGATAATATGAATTTGCAAAATGTTGAATTTTTTATTTAATCTTTTTCTTTGTTAAAGTGAATAGAAAACTAGCAACTGGAAAAGTAGTCGTAAAATAGCATAACAAGGGCTGAACAAATTGCCTTTCCTCACTTTACTGTTCTTTGTTTTGACAAATCTATGTTCATTGTTCTGGCTGTGGGCAGAATTTCCATATTGCTCCTTTTGGCAAACTTACTTGGGCCCCTTCCACTTTATAACTGTTAACCAGAGTCCTTTCTGCAGTAGAGATTGTGAGCGTTGTTAATACCATTTGTACATTCTAAACGAATTACTCTTTTCCGCTGAAATTAAGTTGGAAATGCAAATGAACCTTCTCTATTTTATGATCCCATATTGAAGCTACATTTTCAAATATGGTGAACTAGGTTGTTTATGCTGATTTTTGTTTGTAAACCTACTTCAAGTCAAACAAGTTTAATAATAACAGTACCTTGAATAAATATGCACAGAGCACTTTATAAGTTGCATTGTGATGCAGTGGAAATTGGCCCTTACAGAGAGCTGGATTTGAAATTCAGCTCTGCCACTAGCCAGCTGTGTGATCACTGTAAGGAAATTTGAATTTTATTTTTTTCCCCTAAAAGTTTGATCACTCGAGTCTGTGAAACAAACTGCTAATAGATTAACAAGGAGGAAAGGGCTACAAATGTATTAATGTGCATACGGGCACGGGAGTCAAGCCAAATGTGAAAACTGAAAGAAAGGGCCAGATGCTTGATGCTTTTTTTTTGAGACGGAGTTTCACTCTTGTTAGCCAGGCTGGAGTGCAATGGCGCGGTCTCGGCTCACCGCAACCTCCACCTTCTGGGTTCAGGCAATTCTCCCGCCTCAGCCTCCTGAGTAGCTGGGATTACAGGCACGTGCCACCATGCCCAGCTAATGTTTTGTATTTTCAGTAGAGACGGGGTTTCACCATGTTGATCAGGATGGTCTCAATCTCTTGACCTCGTGATCCACCCGCCTCGGCCTCCCTAAGTGCTGGGATTACAGGCGTGAGCCACCGCGCCCGGTGCTTGATGCTTTTATACCATCTTGAGGTTACCACAGAATAGGGGCTTGGAACATGGTTACGAGAGGGAGAGAGAAAGAAGGGGCTGGGGCAAAGGTGGTCTAGTTATGCCGATTTAACTTGACACATAAACATCTCCTAGAAAGAATAGGCATGACTGTGTTAAGTTGGTCTGTCAGACCTTCACAGGTGTCAGACTTTCAGCTAATAATTTCCTAGGTCCAGTTAAGGAGGTGCCTCCAAAAAAGCCTGGTGATTTTTTTTGTTTGTTTATTTTTTGAGATGGAGCCGCACTCTGTTACAGGGCTCAAATGCAGTGGCCTGATCTTGTCTCACCGCAACCTCCACCTCCCGGGCTCAAGTGATTCGCCTGCCGCAGCCTCCTGAGTAGCTGGGACAACAGGCACGCACCACCACACCCAGCTAATTTTTGTATTTGTAGTAGAGACGGGGTTTCACCATGTTGGTCAGAATGGTCTCGATCTCTTGACCTCGTGATCCACCCGCCTCGGCCTTCCAAAGTGCTGAGATTACCGGTGTGTGCCACTGCGCCTGACCTATTTATTTTATTTTTTTGAGACAGAGTCTCACTCTGTCGCTCAGGTGGGAGGGCAATGGCCTATCTTGGCTCACGGCAACCTCTGCCTCCCTGGTTCACGCGATTCTCCTGCCTCAGCCTCCTGAGTAGCCGAGATTACAGGCTCCTGTCACAATGCCCAGCTAATTTTTGTACTTTCAGTAGAGATGGGGTTTCACCATGTTGGCCACGCTGACCTTGAACTCCTGACCTCAAACTCCTGACCTCAGGTTATCCACCCGCCTTGGTCAATAAAGTTATAGTAGGAGTCTGAGGAAGAAACAAAGGTCTAAATAAATGGTGTTGGGAAAACTGGCTAGTAATATGCAGAGAGCTGAAACTGGATCCCTTCCTTACACTTTATACAAAAATGAACTCCAGATGGATTAAAGATTTAACTATAAGACCTAACACCATAAAAACCCTAGAAGAAAACATAGGCAATACCATTCAGGACATAGGATAGGCAAGGACTTCATGACTAAAACATCAAAAGTAATGGCAACAAAAGCCAAAATAGACAAATAGGATCTAATTAAACTTAAGATCTTCTGCACAGCAAAAGAAAGTATCAATAGAGTGAACCAGCAACCAAAGGAATGGGAAAAAATTTTTGCAATCTACCCATCTGACAAATGGCTAATACCCAGAATCTACAAAGAACTTAAATTCACAAGAAAAAAAACAAATCCCATCAAAAAGTGGCCAAAGGATATGAACAGACACTTTTCAAAACAAGACATTTATGCAAGCTGGGCATGGTGGCTCATGCCTGTAATCCCAGCACTTTGGGAGACCAAGATGGGTGGATTTTCTGAGGTCAGGAGTTTGAGACCAGCTTGGCCAAAATGGTGAAACCCCATCTCTAAAAAGAAACAACAACAACAAAAAGAAGACATTTATGCAACCAAAAAACATGAAAAAAAAAAAGCTCATCATCACTAGTCATTAGAGAAATGCAAATCAAAACCACATTGA